TTCCCTAGTTACAATCCCTGACCTCTCACAGCAGTATAGCTGAGGATTTCTCTCTGTTACCTCCCAACAGATAGACAAGAATACTGGTTTTCTCTATATAAATTGGAAGGTTCAAATCAGTGTCAAGACTGAGAACAACAGAAAAATTAATCATAGTCTAATTTCATAGATAATTTGTTACATAAGTTCACAAGAAACCACTGCATAATGTGCAGCGGACTTCAGATGACATGTACTTACCCAGATCTAGTGGGTCACTATATATATATATACATACACACATTTTGTGCAGTTTTGACCAATCGGAGGTTTCTTGAATCTCCATATAGTTGGTTGAGATCTGTGTATTTCCAGTCTATAACCCTCAGCCCAAGGCAGATATCTATAGCAGGTCAGGGGATTTATGTCTGAGAAGTGCTGGTCTATTCAACTAGACAACTCACTTCAGTGTAGACATTATAAAACTACAGGAAAGAAATCCCACCATGAGATCTTCTAATCTGTTCTTAACTTCTTGAGGAGAACCTAGTGACATCTAAAGCTCCATTTTCCCCATCTGATTTAATCCCTGATCAAACCAGACATTTCCTTACCACTTTCTTCCTCCACTCACAGTATATGGCGCTTGTTTAACAAATCAATGTGCAGCAGCTCCTTTCAGATTAACAGAACTTAAGCCAATAAGCCTGTGAGAAATGTGTATTCATCTCCTCTCTCTACTGCCTACATCAGTTTTACGTACAGTAGGCTCCAGCTTTATTCTAAACTAACCTATTCTCTGTATTTCCTGCTTCACTTGGACTACAAGATTCAACTCAGATGCAACTAAACAAGTAATTAGAAGTACTGTTTTCAACAGAAGATTTCTATGTTTCCAGTGAAAAATCACGTTATCCAGCAGAAACAACAGGTCACTTTTTCTGCTGTTATTAAAAACCCAAATAAATCAACCCATATTTTGGAACATAACTGAGTTGATTTGTCAAAAAGAAAAAAGTACACTTGGATCTAACCCTGAAATAATTCAGCTGAAGCAATCACAGAATCATCCTGGTTGGAAAAGACCTGTAAGATCATAAGTCCAATCATGAACCTAACAATACTGAGCTATAAACAGTATCATTGATATGCAGACACAATTCAAAATGACCTAGAGGCACATGCCTCTTCTGCATGGTTCACAGTTCATCAGATGGATTTTTATTTCAGGTCAAAGTCCTAGAAGGCCCTTCAGATCAAATTATCCCTCAACTGAAGAAAAAACATGAAGTGGACACGCTGGATTTTGTGTTCCTGGACCATTGGAAAGACAGATACAAACCAGACACCATCCTACTTCAGGTCAGTTTGCACAATTCCAGTCTTAAAAGTAAAGTAGCAAATGCCCTGATATCTTTGAGGCCTGTATTCATTACAAAGGACCTCGTACTCTGTAAAATGATGAATGGCAGCCAAAACAGCAACCTTACAAGAGGATTTTGGGAGCAAACTTCTGTTAGGCAAAACTGCCAAGACTGCATAGCTCAGAACTTTGCAAATACTGTTGAACATTTTGTTTTCTGAACAAATGGGTCTGCAGTGTAAATCCTTGCTGGAGTGCATCCCCAGATGGATTGCCCGCATGGGCACTAAGCAGAACACTTAACTCAAAACTATCTTGATCCTGGGAGAAGGTGAGACTTAGTATCTGCATATTCCAGCTCCACCTCTCTAATTTCCTCAGTACTTATATTTTGTCTGGGTCTGCAGTGCCAGCAGGGCCTTTTGATGATGTATTTTGGTAACATAGCTGGGTACCATCTTTCTGTGAGTTTTCACCTAATTAAGAGTTGGAGGAGTGCACACTGCCCCAGTCAGGCACTCACCAGGGAAGTGCTGTCTAATCCATCTAATTTATTCCCACCCCTCCTTAACCATTACTTAAGCAGTACAAAACAACTTGGCTGTAACAGCAGTAGGCAACAATCGGTGAGATAACTACTAGAGGATTTCTGGATAGAAAGGCATTTTCAAGTGTTAAATAACTGAGACTGATAACATCTCTACACAGATCTTCTGGCTTTGGAGCTATTTTCTTTACAAATACATCCACTTTTTTGAGGCTGCCTCTTACCTTGAGAAGCTGCCAACTATTCTTGACTCCTTCCTGAGGACCCCAACATTATTTACTCATCCAGGTTCTTCTGTTTTTTAATTCCAGCCCTGTCCTCCAGACAGCTGTTTGAAAAGGAAATTTGTCTGGGGTCATGAACAGCCAGTATTGAATTTACATAGCAGTAGCTAAGAAAATGTTCCCTCCCCACTGTTATTTTGTACCCAGAGTATGTTTTCTTTTCCCCTGGATGTGTAAGGATAACTGAACTCTTTTCACTGGGAAGAGTTAGTGCATCCTTATCAGAGCTTAACCTTCACAACACAGCCAAAACAAACAGGTAGTTTAGTTCCATCACAGTGGTCAGTCTGATGCAACTGTGACACGAAGTTGTTTTGCCTAAAAAACCCCACTCTTACGAAATTAAGAGGAGAAAGATGAAGAAGAGATCCTTGCATTTTCTCAGATTTTACAAACCTTCTAACATGCAATTTTGGCGTGTACTGTAATACGAGTAGTGAATATGGAATATGAATGTAAAATATTCAGATAAAAGATATATTGAAAGTGGCCCAGACAGAATTCCTTTTCACACACTTCTAGAAAAGCCTGACACAGAGAACATCTGAAATCCTGATGATCAGTGGAAAATACATCATGTTGTCACTTGTAGGCTGCTTAAAACTGCAAGAGACCAGAGGATATTTGCCATGTCTCTAAGATGGCTTCTACTGGTGTTCAGTCTCCAGAGACAAAAGCAGTAAGCTAAACAGCCTCCACAGCACACTCATCAACAGGACTCTAATATACTGGGTGCAACAAAAACCACCCATGTTTTGGCCACCACCTCAGCCTGTAACCACAGGATAACAACTAGGCTGATTAACCACAGACTGTTTTAAAACAGCTGGTAAGCCCAGATAAGCAACTTCTACTAGACAAAAACACCAGTAAAAATTAAGTTTGTAGGTTTACCGAGGATAAACATTGCACTTGAGGTAAATATTGCAAGTTAATTATGCCTTGTGGAAATTTGCCACAGTGATCTTCATTGTGCACAAACCCTGCTGCATGCCCAGCTCCTGAACAACGTGGCAGAAAGTTGTACAAGATGAATGGAAAACAAGTGCAGAAAATCTTCTTTTCATTTAGCAGTTTTGGAATTTTACTGACACTGGCACTGAAATGCCAGTTTCTCAGGTGACCTTAAGAGCTGCTACATTTTAATGCCATATAAAAAAGTTATCACACATCAGGCATGACAGCCAAAACAAAACCATCTTACTGATCATGCAAAGTTGGAAACAATCTAAGCAGCAAGCTGCATGCCTCCACTGCACTTGATTTGCTCTCTCAGAACCTGAATGACCAACATGTTATCAGCATCTCTAATGTTCTACTGATTGTGTTAACAGAAAAACTTAGCATATTAAAAATGACCACAAAGGATCAGAGAGCTAGTTACCGAGCTCATTCCATGTCTTGTCTTCCCTCCAAAGCTGTAGCATAGTGAGTATTTGGATGCAGGTGCTTGAGTATGAATGGTTAACCTGGAAACACATTACATTCAAGCCTATGTCTGCTTAACAGGTGCCATGAAGCAACTTCTCTTTTTTCTAGGAATGCAACTTGCTGAGGAAGGGCTCCGTTCTTCTGGCTGACAACATCATCTTCCCAGGAGCTCCAGATTTCTTAAGCTATATCCGCAACAATCCCCGTTTCCAATGCACTAACTACCCATCTCATCTGGAATATATGAAAGTGCAGGATGCTATGGAAAAGGCTGTGTTTTTGGGGTAAAGAGAGCCATTCATACTCAACCTTTGTTTCAAACTACATAAATGAAACTGTACAGGTTAATTCGTCCATGCTTTAAATTTTGGGTTTTTTGCCTTTTGGAGCCTGTAACTAAAGCAAAAGCTAGTGGAGATATTTTTAGTCCAGGAGGAAACCAAAATTGAGAGTAAGGAGGGTAACTGCTCCAAGGTCTGTTCCACTGTTTCACATAATCCAGCAAACCCAAGGTGATGCACATTGCCTTGCCTTGACCAACACAGCATCAGACACACTCAACACCAGACAACCACAATTTGGTCTTAGGGTGTAGCAGAGAAAGTAGCTGCACTTCTGCAGTCTTGTGTCCTCAATCTTAACTGATTAATCAATATAAAGAATAAAAAAAGTGTGCATATTGCAAGAAAAGCCCATTTCAGAAGCCCTGATTTTGCGAAATTACTAGCATGCCACTTAATGCAGGGGAAGCTTCTATCACGGTACCTGATACCAATGGCAGAAGACAAAATTATTAATCTGCCCATGCAGAGGCAGGGAAAACTGAAATAGTAAATAGATTAAAATAAACACAGTAACAGACAGATAACAAAAGGAGCAGGTTCTTTCCAAAGGAATACCAAAACCTACATGGTATCAGAAACCTAGAGAAAATGCTGTTTATTCCCTCATGTTTACTTATCCCCTCATTATTTTGTATATATGTAGTGTGTACTTTTTAGGGGCAGGGCAAGCTGCTTACTCTGAAGTGCTGTGCATGTTTCAGATGCTGTATAAAAATAAAGACCACAGGGAACAGGTTTTACCAGGTGGGTCCTGCTCATCCTGTTACCCTTGGTGCTGTTAACACTAGGTGAGTAGGGAGGGTTGTCATTGAGAAGATACAAAGTCACATCTGAAGTCTCCAACTCACCTGCTCAATGCAAAAACCCACCGGCATTTCCTGGCGTGTCCTGCTGTGATTACATAGTGAGGTGATGGTTGCATTTTTAAATAAAAACTAAAAAAAACCAATAGAGCAGGCACGTGACTTCCTTTGTTTCCTGCAAATTCTGTACTGTACTTGGGATTTCCAGCCTTGGAACAGCCACAGAAAGGTTCAACAGCTGAAAAATCCAAGTGAAAATTGGGGATTACCATTTTAATCTTTCCCATTATGGATTCTTTCAGACCTGTTATCAGCTTCTTCCTTTTATATCCCACCTTACTGAGGTGGCACCTGCCCCAGCCCATGTGGGTCAGCCAGTCTATCTCCAGGACACCAATAAAAAGCAAAGCAGAGAACTGCCTGGCAGTATAAAAGAAAACTGGAACAGACTAAGGTGACAGAGTTGGTTTGGAAGTGCACCAAGCAAACCACTGTTACCCAGCCAGCTAGTAACATGTATTTCACAGGGATATAAGAAGGCAAAATTATGAGTTTCTTTAAAAATTAAAACTTTGTCTCACTGAGAAAGGTTTACTGCACTGGATTAGATTGCACAGAAGCAACCCCTGTGACTCTGTTGCGCTGTCCTGCAGAGGAGCAGGCCCCGAGTTCCAGCACTTCCATCTCACACTGTGAATATCAGTGGTTTATTCTGTAAGCTTGTGTAGCAGCACATCGTCTTGCTATTCAGGCTCAACTCAAAATCACTGGGCCAAAGACCTCCAGGTGATTCCGAGCATTTTTTGCTAAATTTGAAAAAGAAAATAATCTTCCAGACCATTTACTGGCATACTCAAGTTTTCAGAAAATCTGGGTATGTACAGTTGACAGGATTTTTTTTCTAAGGTATTGACTCCAAAGAATTCTCTTTTGTTTCTAGCTTTAGACACCTTTGCACCTAAACAGACAGTCCTGCTGCAGAAGGGCACTTTGAACACATACTGACCCACAAAAGAAAGTCTCATAGATCCATGCTGAAGGATGCATAAGGGTAAACAGGTAAACCGTTCTGCTCTTTACATTCTTATTGCTAGTTAGTGGCCAAAATTACCATCTGAGAGACTGTCAAGAAAATTTGGGAAGGAGAGAATCTGTAGAGTTTAGCAGGGATATTTCAAAAGATGCACTTTGCACAGTGAATAACCTATGTGTAATATATATGTAAATATAACAGCCACATTTTAGTACATAAAAGGTATTTTAATTAATAAGACAGGATCTCCCACATGGCAATTTGTAAAAATAAACACAGTTCATGTATCACCAGATTATTTACAGAATTACATATGCAAATTATTTTTTTCCACTTGACTACACCTCTGAAATGCTCTTAATTATTGGTGGCAAGGGATGAAAAGGAAAAAGCCTGACATAGTTTGCATGACTAACAATTAGGAAAAAAGGCTTTTGGTCAGTTGAGCAAATATGATCTGGAGTCACTGACACATAAATGTAAAATCTCCCAGGAAGAAGAGCCAAAGAGTTACTTTTCAAAATAAAGTCATGCTTTGAATTCTGGGAAAAGCAAAAGACAGACAATGGATCTTCTAAATAAAATATATACTAAAAACCTCCTGAGTGTTACTGCAACATCAGCCTATTACTGTTAGAAGACACAACCTGTTCTTGAACGAACAGGGATGGAACTGTGCATCTTGAAGCCCATGTTTGAAAACTGCCCACTGAGAGAGCACCACTGATGGAAAGCTCCCAATGGAAAGAACTTCCCTAGAACAAAACACAGGTTTCAGTTGGTTCTCACAGCTTGTGTCACAAATGGTTGATCTCACCAAATCCTGTTATTTGAGATGATTCCCAACTGACAGCTACTCTCCATGCTCTCTTAATGATTCAAGCAACACATGAAAGTGAGGTCTGGTTTCTGTCAGTCTTTATGTTACCTCAAAGGGACATGATGTTGTCTTTCAAAATATTGAACTGATTCTTTAAATCAGTGTACAAGAGAGGGGGAGGATTTATGAAAGTCAAACCCAGCATTAGTCCCTTTCTCTTCCTAATTTAATACTAAATTGAGCACAGCAGCACCAATGTAGCAACTCTTAAAGCAGAAAATACTCATCAGAGCAAACAGCAGACATCATACATCTGTACAGGAGCTTCCTCCTATGGGTATGAGGAAGAGAAAAGCACTTCCCTGAAGAATGAATTTTGAGCACTAAGTTAAACATTAGTTGCAGTGAAGAGAACATAGAGAAATCCCTTCAAGAGCAACAAGAGAAAGACCACCAGAGTCCCAGCCTTCCCACCAAAGGTGACACCACCAGGGCAGTGAAGCATGCTTATTTGGTTTAATAGTCAATCAATTGGGAATAAATTATAAGGTATCTATGAGTAAACAGCTAGCTATGCTTGCTGTGCACACACATTAAACACAGTAAAAGAGTTTTAGGCTTTGCCTCTGTCTCTCCAGCTCAGTTAACAGTCCCATTATAAAACAATCTCATCGTCCAAAATCCTGTCAGCTCGTACCAGAATGAGATTCTGTCACTCCTGGTGCAGAGACCTTCATGGTAAGACCACTGGGGAAGAGACATACGAGGACAGAATATTCTCCTAAGACACTGCTGAAATGTGTAACAGATGAGGACTGTGATATTTCTTGCCTCTTGTTACCAGGTTAATATTTCACCTGCAGGGCTCACTGCTCACCATTTGCACATCCCGTGTTAAGCTGGAAATAAAATTGCTCTGACAGCTATAAAAGGTCAGCTGTAGACACAACATACTTGCTTTATATCAGTACCTTACCTACAGCACCTGCTATTCACCACCATATTAGTGCATGCACATGGAAAACACCAGATTCCTCATTGCAGCGGAAGGCTGATGATACCCAGGAGCAAGATGCTAAGCCCAGGTGCCCACATCTTACCATGGCACTTAGGAAACTAAATCCTCCAGCTGCAAGACCAAAACCTGGAGATGATTTTACAGAACTCCTGGGGCTGCATTCAAGACATCTGAAATAAGTAGAGAATGCAAGATGCTGAAGATGAGCTTCTGAGTGCCATTTGCAAGCTTCTGCAGGTAAATGGAACATTGTAGCACTGTGAATGATACAATCAATCATTAACACATGGCAAACTGTGGCAACAATTTATCGGCCCTTGACTCACAAAAAACCTGACATCTACTCTAAGACCTTGCAGAACCCATCAAGATCTACTCGGTTTCATCATGCTTCATAAAGGCAAGGCAGCAAGCATATGTTTAGGTGCATCAGTCTCCTCACTGATCTTCCCAACACAGATGAACTTGCCAGGGACAGGCAGTCCTCAAGAGAATTAATATCTGCTAAGGCAGAGTGCTGATCTGAGCTAGGGTTGGGTAATCCCCTGCCACAGAAAACAGAAATATTTGAGGTACCTGACATAACGAAAAGATAACCAATGGCACATGTATTCTTTCCAGGCATGGTTTATTGAAAACACACCAAATTGTTATCCTACATACCTGGTTTCTAACAAGCATTCTACTTGTCTGCATTATGGAAAGATCCTATAATAATAATACATTCTGTCACGGTAACATTTGTTCTATGAAAAGCATAATTCACCTTTTTTTTCCTCTCCATACTTGTAAAATCAAACCATTCTAAGTGTTTCAGTTTATAGTACAGTGTAAATACAATGCAAAATCCCACCAGTCTAAACTACAGAGAGAATGTTGAGCAGTATTACAGAAAACACATTGTTGATTTTTTTAAATTCTCCTACCATGAAAATTTAAGGCACATGATAGTTACAAACACATTAGCTACTAATTACCAGTAAGCTTCTTAGTCTAGTTATTTTGTTTTTCTGAACAGTAAGAACCAGATTGACAGGCCTTGTAGTATCTGCGCTATCTTCCTCCTCAACTTGGACTTCAGAACATCCTACCCTGATGCAAAACTTAAGACAGAAAAAAAAAGGTTCATAATACCTTCTTGTTAAATGCACTAAATTAGCTACTGCACCAATAAATCAGAGATTTCCTCTATCAAAGATAAGGAAAGACCAGATTTTAGGGGCATCAAACGTTTAGCAAGCAACTATGCCTATATAAACACCTTCCAGAATCATGAGAGCATGACTCCACCCCAACAGCCCAAAAACTGGCTGGAGTTATTGGTACACTG